CCGTGCTTGTCCCCTTCGCCGCCGCCGGTCCGCTCCGTCATTTAATGTACAATTAGTCTATCGTAACTTAGTACAGTACGTACTGTACTATGGGGCACTACTGTAGTCGGCACTGTCAGCCGACGGGGCTGACTGTATACGTGTCGTACACGTATAGTACACGTGGGGGCGCGTGCCCCCGTACACGTGTGGTACCGGCTGTCTGTAAGGTTCGTGCCTTACAGAGCCGGATCCAATTTCTAATCTAATTCTTTTGTAGTTATACTACACTAATGTGTCGTTCATTGCTTTGACCGCCAATTGAAGGAGAAGCTCTTTGTCTGCGTTGGGGTGGTCAATCCTCATCTTCCGGAAGGTTGTGCGGACCGGCTCGTGGTACCGTTCACCAATTCCTAGGCTTGAATGCGCCTCTATGCCAGTACCTTGGACTTCGACATTGGCTCGTGCTGCTAGAGAGATAAAAGGTTCGCTTTTCCCGAGGTTGCTGCCCCGGTCGACTAGTATTCTGTTCGGGAGGCCAGTATAAATCGAAGCCCAGCAACGTAAGAGTGCGTCCCAGACAGCATTGGTGCTCATGTTAGGGAGAAAGCGAGCGGCAGAGAAACGGGTAGATTCATCCACGATACGCAAAACGGGCAGAGAGTTGATGTACATAATGTCCATCATGATGCGTTCATTAACGCGTGCATTCTCAGTCCCGAAAGAAACACGAAATCGAACAGGTGCGGGCTGAATACGCTGACAGGGATCACAGCGCCGCGAAATGTTCTTCAAGAGTTTCTGGGTCTCCGGCGTAGCGTGTTCTGGACGAGCTCTCCGGAGCAGGTGGGAAAGCTTCGTCGCGGATGGGTGAAAGAACTGTCGGTGAAGCTTTTGAAGCTGTGATTCGGTGAAGTGGATCGTAGAAGCATTGGCAATCGGCACGTACACGTGACGACTCTTCGCTCTTAACAAAGGAATAAACCATTCGTCAAAGTAAGCCTGTCGTCCGTCTTGGAGTTCTTGCGCAGATCTTCGCGCAAGTCGGTGAAAAACAGTCTCGGCGACAAGTTGCTCGCGGTCCAGTACGTCCATGCCCAGCAACGCTGGGATGTCAGCCTCGACAATGTCGAAGTCGACAAGGATGGGTTCGACACCTGGTGGTGTTGCGAGGGGCAAAGATATGCGTCCGAGCGAAGGGAAAGATTCGTCTCCAAATCGGAAGCGGCGTCCAGATTGGCGTATATCTCGACCGTGGTTTTTGGCTACACAGAGGAGGCCATTCAACTCCCGCTTGCCGACAACTGACTTTGGAGCACCAGTGTCGACGCAGAAGCCGAGAGGGCGGCGTGATGAGCATTCACGTTTTATTTCGGCTATAAGAATCTTCGTACAGTCAACTTCATGTGCTGGAATCTGGTAGCAAAGGGAAATAGCTCTAGGCGGGCAAGAAATTGGTTTTGGGCGATGTAAATTAGGTGCGGGTCCACATCGCCTTAATGAAAATTTGATGGAGGCATCTGCTGCGACAAGCTTGCAGAGACGATATTCGTGACAAACTCCCTGTCCAGGCTGTCTGCATGATCATTGTCACGATTAGCGATCGGCAAGGCGTCATCGAACGCTTGTGCTGCAGTTTCTCCGAAGTGAGTGGCATCTCCCTCCGTCCCAGAGAGGTCATTATCATCACCAGACTGGCATTCTTCCTCCATTCCGAGAACGTAGTCGCGAATGATGTGAACATGGGATTCCCCTTTGCGAAGCCTCGAGCGTGCGTTGGCTGCGATTGCCGCGGGACTGCACGGATGACCTGGCTTCCACGGAAGGGAGCATTTGAAGCACTCGTTCCGTCGGCGCGCTTCCTCAAAGGTGCGGCCGTTACTTGCCAGCCGGGGCGCCGATGTGGGTCGATATCTTTCGGGACGTCTTGGAAAATGCTTGCGAACATCACGAGGATGGGGCCCATAGCGTTGGAAGAACATCTCTGCAGCTTCCTCCTGCAACTCAGTGATGCAAGATGAGAATACATGTGGGCGGGCCTCTCTAAGCTCGTTGGACAGCTGAAGGCTTTCATGCAATGCAGTCACGAAAGAATGAAATTTGTAGTGATGAGAGACTATGTTCCGGATAGGAGCTAGGGCCCATTCGCAACTGAGGACCGCCCTCCGCAAGAAGCGGATCTTATTCTCATCAGAGCGAAATCCCGGAGGGCATTGCGGCGTGAGGAGCTCAATTTGTTCCACAATCTTAGTAAGGCCTTCTGAGTGTGTAGTCAGGGAGCGCGCGGACATGAACGCGTCTAGGCTTAGGCCCTCAAGCGTGGATTGGACCTGTTGCTGCCTAGAGTCACTGTCATACTCGCGCTTCATGAGTTCACACACTTGGTTATACGACATCCCTGGACTGTAATGGTTCAGCAGAAAGGTTCGGGCAGGTCCCTCGAGGACGTTCATGAAGTACTCAGCCTTCTGAAGAGCGTTCAAGCGGTGCTGACGTGCGCACGCCTCGTAGTCTCGTATAAGAAGTTCCAACGACTGTGACAAGTCGCCAGTGAACTTCCGACCAGAGAACTGCTGGTGGACATAATTTGCCTTCCGAGTGTCTCCCCAGTCCGGGGAGTTATCGAGGGCATCGGCACTGGCGTTGAACGTCTGGTTGCTGCTCTCGGCCGCAGAACGTCCATAGCTGTTAAGGGCCAGGGTAGTTCCTGGCTGCAGACCTGTCCAACGTCAAAGACGACTGAACCGATTCCGGGACCTGGGGGATACCCATCAAATCCCCGCGAATGTGGTGTGATTGGATTTGGGACCCGTGCAGAGACCTCCGGTGCGGTTCTCTGGGATGAGCCTCCGGGGTTGGGCGCAGCCCTCACCGTGGAGGTTCCACAAGTTCGGCGAGAAAGCAAGGCACGTGCCTGCTTAAACATGTCGACAACTGAACGAGTTGAACTGGGGTCTAAACCAAGAACAAATGCGAGCCAAACTTGGTTCATGATGCTTTTGTGGGCTAGTTCATAGTCACGGAGGATCACTCCTGATATAAAGTCGGCAGGTATTTCATCAAAGCCGTAAAGTTCGTAAATGCTGTAAAGGACCTCGATCGGGAATGTTGGTCGACAGTAGTAACCTCCAGTGAAGACGGATGATGGGGCAGGTAGCATGTCAGACATAGTCTCACAAACATCGATCAGTTTAGGCATTACGGCTTGGGTTGTCCCTGAGCTTTGGGCCACGGGATACAGATGAAGCACATTCCTTGCGGCACCGAGGTACTGACTGTAGAAGTCATCCTCCTCTTGGATGCAGGTCGCCATCTTCTGGAGGCCAGCATATCGCTGAAAGGCTTGCGCCTTTGTTATAGCCGTTGGAGCTGTATCACCATATGTATCGGTGGGTGAAGAGTTGGTCACATCGGCCGGGGCAGAGGGGTTGTCTTGCGACATATTGGGAAGGGTGGATGGGATCTTCTGGTCTGCACGAAGGGATGAAAATTGAAGCAAAAATCGCACCTTCGAATCCGGATTGTCGTTGAACGGTGCTTTTGTGCCTCGCGCGAGCTATCGCTCGTACGATCGAGCGATTGAGTATTCGCGCGGTGGGGAAGACGGGGTGATCCGGCGAATGCCTTCAAGAATATAGAACGAGCACCGGCCAATGCCTTTGCTATAGAAGTGTAGCTTGGTGCTTTTACAACTCTAATAAACGTTCTGGCTTTTGGAAAGGGTAGGGTGACTACACTACAATGGCATAAGTATCTCGGCACCACGGGAGCTCACCGGCCGTTGGGGACGGTAGTGTAAGCCCATGTAAGCCCCAGAAACGGACAAAAACCTCCACTCCCTCAAACATCGGTCGGGACTACAACGGTATACACGTGTGCACGTGTACACATCTGAGAAGGCGTGACATGGTCCGAAAGGCGAATTATTGACCAAACGAACTATTCTACCGCGAATTATTGAGGAGCACCACTGTAAGGCGTCCGTGGCATGGGCTCCATGCCACTCTCTTTATCGGTCCCGCCATACTGTATGCGTTTATTGCTGTAACAGCGAAAACATGTGAGGCGCTTGCAAATATCCGGCTTGCACCGTCCCCATCAATATATTTTAGGCAGCACTGTCCACAGTGCATGAGGGCCGTTCCTAACGAAGAGTTCACAGTGCCAGCACCCGGGCACCCGGACATTTGGCATGAATGGATTGGTTGAACGGGAGTAAAAGAATTTCCAATAATTTTTTCAACCAATAGCGCAATTTGTCGCCCTGGTAATCTAGATTACAATACGTGATCGTGATTAGCCGACGGTTGTAATGCAGTATTTTACTGAAGTGGGGGTGGGCCCCTTGCAGGGTCGCGATTGAAGTAAATGCACAACCGAGAGATTTGTCTTGCTTCCGCAACTTCGACGCGTAGTGCTTCCTCGCGCTATCCGAAGTATCCAATCTTATAATCTACAGTATCCCTCGCTGTGGCTCGGACCACAGTTCCGAAGGCGCCCGGTCTTTGTGTTTCCAGCGACAATCTTGCACTCCCTTGGCTTTGTCACTATCAACCAAACGACATCGTCATGCAAGCACCCGCCTTTTTCCCAACTTGTTTTCACACCCCGTTTCTACACTCAACGGATACAACTCAAATGCTCTTCTCTTCAACCACACCGCCGCGTTATACGGTACTGCCACTCACACCACCCTGATGTCAACACTGACTTGCAAAGCATGTTCTACACCTCGCCCCTAGGAGCGAGTGTTCAAAATTTTACGCCCGGAAAGACACCCTCACACCAGTTCCCTCATCTCCTGCGGCTCGGATCCCCCCCTGAAGCCCGGTGAGCGCGTTTCATTGGATCCCGGCGTCGAAACCACCCCATCCGACTGCGCGAGGCACTCCATCTCGGCGTCAGTCGCGTTCTCGGACCCTGCCGCCAGAAAGCTCATCCCGATCTCCAGCGCCTCGTCGGCCAGCCGCGCGTCCATCCGCCTCGCCACGTCGGCCTCATACACTTCCTCCCTCCCCAGCATGTCGCTCACCAAGTGCAGGAGCTTGTGCTCGCCCTCCGCCGCCGCCACACCCTCGTCCACGAGCTTGAAAGGAGAGCCCAGCGTGTCGAAAAAATCCAGCTCGGAGTTCATCTCGAGGGCGGCCGCAGGGGGCCCCGCGTCGCTGAGGAGAGACGCGATCGAGTCTTCGGGCGTTAGCGGCAGGAGGGGAACGAGTCCGCCTTCAGGGGCCGATGCACCGTGGTGCCGCTCGTCTTTACACTTGGAGATCACTTTATGCACGCCCTGCGCTGTTCCAAGCTTCGTTGACGGCGTGGTCGCGGGCTTGCGTCCCTTCTTACGCGGTGATTTCACCGCGGCCGGGAGAATGCGTGCGTGCCGTGCCGGCTTGTTCTTGGAAGCGTCAATGCCGGAGATAGGGAGCGTGGCCTTCCACGGCTGGCGCGTGGTTTGCGCCCGAACGCTCGTGATGTCGGCGTTGGTGCCGTTGTGATGAGCGCGCACGTGGTGTGCCATGGAGCTGCGCCACTTGAATTGTTTGGGGCACCGCTCGATGGGGCAATGGTACGGCGTTTCGCCAGTGTGCTTGCGCAGATGCACTTTGAGGTTGTAGAGCCTGTCAAAGGTCTTTCATGTTTGTTGTTGTTGTAGGATGGGGGAGAGGTGACCAGTGAAGTGTTAGAGGTGATTGAGATCGGCTGACTGGCGGGATTTTGAGGTGGTGGGGACTTACTTTGGAGCATGTTGGACAAACGTTGCCGCCGCCCATTGCTGTCTTGGTCACTTTGGAAAGGGGTCCAAAAATGCTGTTAAACGTGGCGAAGGTTTCTTCGGAAACGAAGGATGGGTCCATTTGATTTCCGTGTGTCACAATGCTATCCTCCGTTGGACTTGCATTTTCGCTTAAGGAAGACATGAAACGTCGTTCCGAGTGGGCAATACTGGGGGGTTTCGTTTGCATACTCGTAGGAGTGGAAACGACGTGAGACGGTTCATGTCAAGGCTTTAAGCAACAACTAGTGAGCATGTATGCTCGTCAACATGCAGTTGAATGAGAGAGAAAAAACTCAGTGTAGCGTGCAGTACCCGTTGACTGTATGCTCGCTCTTGTTTGAAGAAAAAAAGGTGAGCACTTGCGCTGCGATAGGAGACACGACGACCTTGAACCGTCGTCACATGTTTGCAGCAGTTTAAAACCCCCTCGCTCTACCGACACAATGAATCTGCCCATCTCCGCCAGATATGCAGATGGAATACGTAGATTCACAAAAAAAGCGCAAGGTATTGCCTATTCACGTCGTTACATAGAAGGTCCGGGATGCAGGGGAAATAATAGGAGGTCGTTACAGCTTGGCCGCTATCCGCGCCGTGAGAATTTTCCACTCAAAAAACTCGTTGTCTGCTAGTGTTGGAGAGCCAAAAGGGTTATCCCTCACCTATCTCAGTGTCGGCAAGCGAGAAAAACGCTGTGACCTGTCCCTTTTACTGCAAGAGAAGCGACTGAAAGCAAATAAAAAAAACATTTGCAAAGCTACGTGAAGCTGCAAAAAAGTGACAGCTTCGATTCATTCCTGGGTTTTGGTCGGTGGAGTCCGGTTGTTCCAGTGAAGGTCTTTGAGCCGTAGAAAACGCCCTTCCGCAACTCATCTTTTCGAGTATGTCAATGTCTTGGAGAAGACGAAAGATATAAACAAGCGCGCAAACTCTTCATGCCATCGGGAGGGTCAGGGTCAACTTTCAATATTACATGCATTTTTGAGGCAATAAAGATCGCAACCTTAGAAACTAGGAAACTAGGTTCTCACTGGAAAGATATCTGAAGAACAGTGCGGTGAAAACCACCCACATCTAGGCTGTCATTCTACACCGGCGTCGAGAAGCGATGGTCAAATAACTGATGAAAGCGCCATTGCCGAGCGTTACCTCAACTCATCTCACTTCAAAATGCATAGCTCTAGCACAAAAATATACCAGCAACCCGACAGCGGTATGGATCCTTTCAATCAGTGCAACGCGTCATAGAAGTGGTTACTCCTCCGGATCCGGGCCATCTCCGGCAGCTGCAGCACTTGGCTGAGTGAACCCTTTCGCGATATCCTTCCAAAAACTAAGGTTGGAGTCGCGTTTCATTTTCTGCGCGCGGAGCTTCTCAACACTTGACGAGCCCTTGTCCGGAGATGTATCTGAACTGTACCCTCCTAGTTCGACGGCCGCAGAGCGCCACTGATCCGCGTTACTGGAGGACGACCTTCTTTCCGCACGCTCATTTGTCCCGGCTGAGTTGGGCGATGACGGCCACCACAAGGAGCTGCCTGACTGAAAGCCTCGGCCATTGGAGCTTTCCCAGTTTTCCCACGCCGTACGCTCCGACATAGCCTTGCCATCCAGTCCGGCACCCCAGTCCGGTTTCGCGTCTGCCAAACCCGGGGGGCTTTGCGCCGGTTGATTCTGAGCGCTGGCCTTATCCGCCTCTTCAACGGCCGACTGCCACGATTCATTGGCCCTTCTCCAGCTATTCCACACATTGCCTTCCTCGCTCTCCCCCTCGGCGGCGCCCTGCGCATCGTCTGCGGCCGCCGTTTCCGTCTCCCCCGTGAGCTGGCGCGCGCTAGGCCGCCACATATCCACCTCTGCCTTGGGATCGCGTGGCGGAGATGTTTCCGCGGCCTGCTGCCACCGTTGCTCGCCCTCTCTCCACTGCGACCACGACGAAGACTCGTCGAAGTCTTTCTCGCTCTGCGCCTCATCGCGCAGTCCCGTGTCTGTACTAGCGTCGGACACACCGTCGTCGGCGACGGCAGCGCCCGCCCCTAGCGTGACGTCGTCGTCATCGTCTGCCGTGATGTTGAGCTCTTTGGCGGCGGAGCGCCACCGCTCGGCGTCGGCCTTGGGGTCGCGGAGCGGGATGCCCTCCTTGCGCAGGGCCTCGACGTCGTCCTCGATGCCGGCGTATCCCGCTCCGTAAGTGGCGCCGGCCTTGAACTTGTTTGCGATAAACGCGGGGGCCTGTGCAGGCTTGGACGACGGCTTGGCGGCGTCGATGCGCTCGCCGGCCTCGTCGACGAACATGGCGCCCTCGCGGCGGGCCTGGTCGACCTCCTCCGGCGTGAGCTCTCGGCCGCTCTCGTCGGTGTAGGTGATGCCCTGCTGCGCGGCGGGCAGGCGGTCGAGGGCGGCGTCCTTGGCCTTCTGGGCGTCACGCAGCACCTCGCGGCGGGCTTCGGCGTCCGCTTTGCCGGCCTGGTCACGGCGCAGGTCTTCGAAGCGCATCCAGTCGACGTCCGGGTTCCAGCCCGAGCCGGGCTCCGCGTCCTGGCGCGGCGGGTTAGAATCCGAGCCCGAGCCTGTCGCGGGCTCTCCAACGTCCGAGGCGCGGCGGACGGGAGCGGGCACGTCGGCCGGGTCGTCCGGCGGGCCGACGAGCTCTCGCGCGATGGCGCGGTACTGGTCGGTGTTCTCGTCCGGGTTAAAATTGTCGAGGTCCGAGCGCAGGCGATGCTGCAGGGAGGTCATCTCGCCGGTGACTCCCCTGGCCTGTCGCCAGATCTCCGTGGACGACGCGTTGGGATCGATGGGTTGGTATGCGTTGTCGGCACCCTGGGCGGCATCCGCAGCGTCGACGGGCGGTTGCGGAATGTCGCGCGCGGCCTGGCGCCAGAAGTCGGTCTCCTTCTGCGGGTCGCGCGGCGGGGCGGGGGGCTGGCGGCTCTCGTTGGCGACGGCGTGGTTCCAGGCAGCCCAGGCGGACTCGGCGTCGGCGGCGGGCAGCGGGGGCTGGTCGTCGGGCAGCTTCCACACGGGGGCGGGGCGCCGCGGGTCGGATTCGGAGTCGGAGGCGCCCAGCGAGCGGGCGAGATTCATCCAGGTTGGGTCGCCGATGGGGCGGTCGTCGTCTGGCGGGGCGCAGCACTGAGGGGGGCGGCGCCGGTGCGAGCAGAGACGGGCGTCGCGCGCGCGCGAGAGGGGGAGGGGGGCCGTCGGGAGGAAGAGGGGGAGCATGGTGCGGGGAGGTGAGATAGAGGAGGGGAGCGGGGAGGTGAGATGGAGAGCGGAGCGAGGGAAGGGCGCGGAGGGGGGATGGGAGGGGCAAGTGGGGATGGAGAGGAGGGGGAGATATTTTTGAGGGGGTTTGGCCATTCATTGGAGATTGGAGACCGAGCTCGCGACCGTCAACAGTGCGGGTTATGAGAAGAGAGACGGGTCTCGTCCCCGCCGTCGGTATTTTCCGCCGTTACCGTACTAGTGCATGAAGACGGTCTTATCAACGCCAGGCATCGGCTACCGTTGGTAATCCGGCGAGTATATGACAAAGACGGACGATCGTCCACATTACGCCAAGCATCATCCAAAATCATTTACGCGCCCTTTTGCTGATACAAAAACCGCCCGGCCTCCCGCATCCATCCGCCCTGGCTCACCGCCCCGTCCACACCGCCACCCGCCACGATGCCGCGCACCCCACCGCATTTCACGCTGCGCAGCAGCGTGCTCCCCGCGCTGCAGGCCGTGCTGACGGGCGGGTCGACCGGGCTCGCGGTGGTGCTGGTGGCGCTGTGGCGGCCGTCGCGGTCGCGCGCGCTGCCGTTCTACTCCGACGCGACGCACCACGACCCAGAGCGGATCGTGCTGTGCGTGGGGGAGAACCTTGCCTGCTTCTTCATGCCGCTGGTGGCGTGCGCCGAATACCTGCACCAGATGCGTCTGGCGGGCGGTGCGCCGCGCTCGGCGCTGCAGACGCGGCTCGGCGGCGGCTCGGCGTGGCTGTCGACCGAGGCCGTGGTGCGGTGCAACTTCGCCGTCACGGCCGCCACCACGCTCTTCTTCTTTGTCACCGCCAACGTGCCGTCCAAGTTTCCGTACACGCCGCCGCACCAGTTCGCCGCGTCCGCGCTCATCCTCATGTACGCCGTGCAGGCGACGTGCAAGGCCGTGCTGGGCGCGACCTTCTCCAATTACGAGGCCGGCGCGGGCGAGGCGGCGGGCGCGGGCGATGAGGAGGCCGGGAAAGAGGCCGGGAAAGAGGCCGCGGAGAAAGGTGGCGGCAAGGCGGCGGCGGGGTGGGTGGGGAGACGGCGGGGCAGGGTGAGGGCGTTTTGGGGGCGGCATCATCTCAAGGTGCGGGTGATGCTGGCCGCGGTGCTGTGGCTGTCGCTGGTGGCAACGTGGGGGTGCTACATGGGGCGGGTGGTGACGCGCGGTAGAAGCGGATGGGAGGGGTTTCGGCGCGGGCTGTCGGTCGGGATGGCGGTGATCGTGCACGCGGCGACGGGGAGCTGCGTGGCGTTGATGGCGGTGAGCGCGGTGGACCTGCGGGGCGAGCGGGTGGTGGTGGCGGGGGCGGCGTGAGGGGCGGCTAGTGCCTGAGGAGGTAGTAGGCGAGGGCGAGGGCGGCGAAGAAGGCGGCGACGAGGAGGCACATGCGCGACGAGCTACGGTCGGCGACGAGCTGGTGCAGCAGGTGCGAGGTTTGGGCGAGCAGCGAGTTGGCCGAGTCGAAGCGCTTGTCCATGCGGTCGAGCAGGCGGTTGTGGTCGGCGACGTCGGCGTCGATGTGGATGGCGATGTCCTTCATGGAGCCGGCCGAGCCGCGCAGCGCCTCGATGGCGCGCTGGTTGTCCTGCTCGAGCGCGTCCGACTCGCCGGACGCGCCCGCGGAGGGGAGGTCGCCGCCCGCTGTGGCGCGCGCGCCGAAGAGGAGGCCGCGGTTGGTGCGGTTCTGCATGGCGCGGGGCGGGTGGGGAGGACGGCTTTGGAGGGTTGCGGCGGGGGGAGACGGGGGGGGGATGAGACGGGGGGGGATGAGGCGGGGGGGATGGAACGGGTGTCATGCATGCACGGAGCGACGCCACCAAGTGCGCTTCCAGTTTGTGTATCTCGTGTCCACGTGGCATAGTGGTCCACGCGTACAGAGACTACATGTGTCCACTATTTACACGTGTGTCGCACTAGGTGAAGGTGATTCGGCGCCGGGCGAAAGACTCGCTCGAGCTCAACGCGCTTTCCCTTCCGCACCTTCAACACTTCTCCATCCTCCAAAAGTGCTCTTCTCCCTCGTCCTCCCCCGTCCCCGATCCCCTCCCCCTTGGCCCTCCCATTGCCCCCACCCAGCAACAGAATGGCCTTCCTCCCCCTCCCCCCGCTCCCCCGCCTCCTCCCGAAGTCCCGTCGCCCCCTCTACACCCTCTCCGGCCTGCCCAACCTGCGCGATCTCTCATCCGCCGCCCCGGCCCTGGTGCGCCCGCACCGCATCTACCGGGGCGCCACGCCGGCCGTGCTCCCGCCGGACGCATCGCCGGAATCGCTGCGCTTCCTCCGCTCGGCCCCGCTGCTGCTGGACCTGCGCTCGCCCGACGAGCGTCTGACCGACCCGCAGACGCACCTGCTCTCGGTGTGCGGCGCCGACTTCCGCGCGCGCGAGGCGCACGTCCCGCTGCTGCGCAAGCGCTCGGTCGTGTACGGGCTGGTGCGCGCGCTGCCGCCGGACCAGGCGCGCGCGCTGGCGCTCAAGGCGCTGCTGCGCCCGTCGGCGGCGCGCCTGAAGGGCGTGGAACGTGTCGACGAGGGCGGC